TAAATACTGAAGAGTGCAAGTAATGGCAAAATCCTTAATTTTATTTGGAAAGTATGACCAAAATGTGAATGATTAATTACTGTACGGTACTGGCATAGGATAAAAGTAATATATTCAGTGTGGCGACAGTTAATGGTTAACAATATTGAAGAAATTTGAAGGTGTGTAAATTTCATATTCCTACCTTTATGTTTTGACTCCTTTTCTTTGTGTTTTCTGGCGTCAACGGCAATCATAAGAAGTAGTACAATCAGGGTCACTGCTACATAAAAGGAGATCGTTTGATGCTTCATCTTGTCGTCGATGTCTGTATTTTATTTTGAAACGCCTGAAACACAAAATTTAATACAGCTGTTTGCAACTGTGGGTCTTGTATATTATTAAAAAAAGGATACAGTATATAATTATGACAATTTTATTGTTGCGATATAATATTTATATGATAGTATGCTGATACAAGCCATTTTTGATTCAATATTTCGAACTTTATTAGTTCAGGAATGAAGATTAGATTCTGAAGATTTCTCAAAAATGAACTAATAAAGTTCGAAATATTGAATCAAAAATGGTTTGTAGGTCTATTACTTTTTTCGAAGTTTGTTTCATACTTCTTTTCCAAATAAATATATAGTTTTCTACAGTCTACATGCCTTACACTTATCGGTGAACCCCATGAAATTAATATGAATTAATGGAATTGGTGAGTACATCTATGGATTGTACCCACTGATGATCACGAATCGTAAATTACACTACCGTATTCCGCATCGAAACGTCATCAGAATCATTAAATAAAGCATAGAGTAGGCCTAAATAGGAATCAACGATTACATCTTCGAAGCACGCATTTTATATATATAGGCCTACACTTTAATACTTTCTACAAAAGAAGCAATGTTGCCTGTGGAATTAAAAATATTGAAAAGTGTTGAGTTTGCTTTCGATTATAGGCCTATATTTTATTTTTATTTTTCATTTTATTTGTTCACCAGAATTAGACAAAGACAATAAATTATAAATATATAGAGATACTGAAAAATGTACATTTATAACATTTTAAAATGCATTTGTTAAAATCAATAAGAAAAAAAAAACCAATTAAAATACGGGATTATTAAGACAGTGTTAACAGGAAAAACAATGTGTTAAACATGGAATAACTGTTGAAGAAAATATCAATAGCTAAAGAATTATATAAATTAGTTACCGCGCTTGAAACCCCTACGTGAAACATTAACCCTAAAATAGAACCTAAAAAGTGGACTTCAGCCTAGTAACACGAAATGAAACATGTAAACTAAATAAAGAACCACAGTGGCAACTAAACAGACAATTAACACTCTTATACACAAACATTAAATCACACCTCTTCGAAACTTAAGGGGTTCAAGGTTACTCTGTTAGGAAAATTAACCGTTTGTCAAGGAATCCAAGAATTTTATCTTGAATACGTTGGAGCCTAGTCGAATGAATCTCAGGAATAGAATTAAAAATACACTATAGGCCTATCTAAATCAGATCGAACGAGTGTTTTATACAAAATAATCAGGGGTTTGGGTTGACTAATTCCTCTGTAATGCCTCCAAATAAAGCCAACCATTCTATTACTCTTTCTAACAATATGGTCAATATTCTTGAAAAATGCAAGTTTGGAGTCCACGAAGATTCCAAGGTCTTTAAAAGGAACGTGATTAAATTATGGTAGGCCTAATTGAAAATGATTGAATTTGATTTAAAAGTAAAGTAATCGTTTGTGATTTACATTTTGAGGCATTGAGAATCATACCCCAAGAATTGGACCACTGCACCAGATCTTCAGGTCTTCTTGATATAATTTGACGTCATCAGCAAATAAAAGACAAGTAGAAAATTCGGTTAGCCTATAATGTTTCGCTCGTATAAAGTAATTGGGATGTTAAAAGGTACAGTACCAACTTAATATATGTTACTAAAAGTTATAGGTCTAGGTAAGTTGATATTTTCAAATATTGTTTATCGACAATATTGCTGCTTAACACTCTATGGAGCTCTACTTAAACACCAAAATCTTTTAAGTGACACGATAGGATTTTGCAAATCCCGTCACTTATCGACATCAGTGCGCTGTCCCTTTGAGATTTGCACTCATCTGCCTAGGTGACACTACTAATCTGTAAAGTAAAATACTGTTTATTTATCATCCTCATATCTTCACTTCATTAACATAATTAATAACTGACACACTCTTTATGTTAATGTTGGCTTGTAAGGCCTATATACTAAAAGTGAATGTGTTTGGCCAGGCATGCCTTGCATTGATTTCTTGGTTGAAATTTCTATGTTAAGTCCAAAGTTTGTTCGATGTAGGCTACATTCATTGATTTTCTACAACATGGCTGAGTTTGGTTTTAGTTTTTTTTAATGGAAATGAACACCATTACCATTAATTTTGTTTGTTGCCGTTTTATCAATCGATAAATAATTGGTCGGTCGATTTGGCCTATGTCTAACTATACATTAGTTCATACGTTCGTCTGTCCATCCATTCATCATCGAACTATCTATTGGTTTTATTTTATTTTAAATTTTTATTTTAGTTTATTCCTTTTGGCAATCAGAAAATACAAAAATGCATTACAAAAGAAATAAAGCAAAATACAGAACTGCAAGAAAAAACAAGGCAATAAATTACAAGAAAACCCAAATCACCACCCAAAAATGATGTGATATTCCGTAGGTTCACACGTTCGTCCATTCATCAATCAATCCATTCATCCATCTATCAATGCATACATGCAATCATCCATCAATCGGTCCATACATACAAGCGTCCATCCCCAATCAATCAATTAATCCATGCAAGCAGGCATATACATCAATCCATCCATCCACAAAAAACACAATTCGTCGGGGAGAAAATAAATTATACGCCTATCTATATTTCTACATAATAGTAGACTCTAAAATCGATTAAATAAGCCTTTGAAACCCCTAAATCATCATACTTTTGGTGGGATTCGCCCGCTAGACCACCTTCGAAAGATTTTGAGCGACGTCCGTCCACGCCCACTTTGCTGTCGTCAGGGAGGCAGCCCACCCTTGCGCCGTCACTGCTCCCAGAGGTGGCCACTACCAGAATTTCTAATTTCAAATTCCCAAATTAAAATAAAGACAAAAACAAACAAAAACAAATGAAAAACATTTAATATTTTTGGAATGCAGTACTGTGCACGTAAACTTGTAGCCTGTGTACAATGTGAAAGACGTCCTAATTGATAAGCACTGTAAAGTTAAACTAAAAGCCAGTACTTGTAAATGTTAATTACCGTACATAATGTACACAAATATAATTATATACATAAGGTTGACATGCTGAATTTTAATTAGGCCCCTACTTTATTTCCAATTGACAATTACGAATTCATATTTTTGATTTATATGAACATATTTGCATCGAGAACTATTGTAAAATCCATGAAATTATATTCTGAGATTTTAGTAAGTAAAATACAATATGCATTTCCGTGTGCAGATGGAATGCCTACCTATATCTAGAGTCAAGATATAGGCCTATGCTGTGATTCACATTTTCACTCGGCAGAAAATAGTTATTGTAGATAATATATTTCGGTTGGCTGATATAATTGTAATTAAATTACACCTCATTATTACAATAAAAAGGTCTGGGAAATTGAATTTCAGATTCATTAGGTACTGTTATTGATTTTTTTTTATTTCTTTCTTGACGATAATTGCCTATCATCTGTCTCAGTTGTTAATTCCCCCATCACACCATTTTTTATTGAAAGGTTTTCATACCGTAGTATTTGTCTCCCAATTACCGAATATTATATGCCAGACCTTATGCTATAAAATAGGCCTTTTTTGATATATTAACTTTAGATACACATAGACAGCAATCAGAAAACTAAACGTTGACTATATATATACATATACATATATATATATATAATATATAGTATATATATAGTATATATAGTATATATATATAGTATATATAGTTGCTGATTTATATTATTTTATATTTATTTATAGTTGCTCAGCTATATGTATATATAGCTGAGCCCTTCCTCAGCGATAACACGTACGGGTACGGCCATACGTGTTATCGCTGAGGACGAGCATCGGAGTGCTCGAAATATCCGAAATAAAAACATGGTTATGTCTATCATGTCAATGTGAGGCTTACGTTCCTACTTTGTGCATTCGTACTCATTTTATATTATCAAGACATACGTGGAACCTACAAACATTATATATATATATATATATATATA